TGGATCTGACGGGCAGCGAGGAGGACATGCCAGGCGGTCCTGGGGCACATAACCTACAGGACGCACCGAGTCGCTGTGACCACTCGTTAAGGAATCGCTGCAGTTAACGTATTTTTCCCTCAAGTAAATGGGGGGGAAAATAAGAAAAAAAGTGGAAGTGCAGCTGCCTGATAGTTTTGAATCTTGGCATTTCTTTATCAACTTAAGCCAAGCAAAGGCTTTTTCAATATACCTTTTCAAGTGCTTTTTTCCCCCCCAGTGCTGGAAAGTTATGTATTTTTTTTAAAGTACAGAACAATGGACTAATTGTACAGTGGTTTGCAGAAGGTGTTCTGTTTCTGTTGAAATGCTTACCCTACCCCCAAGGCATTTTCCATTATGTCATTGTACACAATTTGAGGCCTAAGTATAAATTGCTTCCCATCACCAAAGTGATACCCACTCCCCTCTTCCAAAAAAGGATTCCACTGATGGCCTGTAACTTCAGATCTACTTTATACAGTGATCTATCACAAAATAAGAAACGTGACCTTGATAAGATATAAGGTGGGGGGAGGGGGCAAAGCGTAACCTGAAATAAAAATTTAAAGGAACCCACTGCACTTAACAGAATTTCCTGGTGCTGGTGGGCAAGCACAGCTTCTCTCCATAGAGCCAGTGGGCATAGGGACACAGGGCCATGATGCCATGCTGTGAGATGCTAAAGCCCTACATGCCGCTGTCTCAATGGTGGTTTGAAACCCTGCATGTATAGCTTACACACACACACACACACACACACACACACACTCTTGAGATTTACTCTGCTATGCCTCATCTGGGAACCAATATTTCTCCCATTACCTCCACAAACCCAACGGCAATAGTTTCCATATCTATACTACTGTGATTCAAAAATGATGAATGCACACCTTATAAACATTACATCTGCATCAACTTTACTTCTGATTATAGTTTAGGTATAGTTGGAAGAGTGCAGAAGACTGAAATGCCAGCTGGGAAACCGACTCCTTTAAAATATTATGGCTTTCCAACAAGCTCAAACCAAGAATATATGATACTGGGTGAATCTTTCTTTTTGTTTTGCTGCTTTATGGTTTTTCTTTTTATCTGCCCAAACTAATCTATTGACAAGCACTCCCAATAGCTACTTGTGAAAAAGAGATTTTTAACTAAAGTTGAGATAGGTTTTATTTAATGAATGTAAAAACGTGGCTACCTTGCCTAAGAAAATGATGTCATGGTTTAGAAGACCGCTTGGAGTTGGAAGACTTTTACAGAAAAGTTATTACAGTCCTAAAGGAATCCAACCCAGGAAATCATGTGGGAACAACTATAAAACTGGGTCAACATTGGAGGCTAGTAGGTGAAAGCAAGCTGCTGCTTTTCAGGGTCAGATTCCTGGGAGATTTCTTTCATACATGTCACTGACACATGCACGCCGATCAGAGCAGCAGCCCACTTAACCAGAAAGACCCTGGACATCCTAGCCAGCCCCAAACTAGGTATCACCTGCACCTGCGCTCCGTACTCACTGCTGCGATCTCTCCTCTGAATCTTACTGGGTGCTGACGGATGATAATTCCTGACAAGCTTGGAAATCTGACCTCCAGGACTCGTGAAGCGTATACGAGATAAACAGCAAAACAGAATGGATGGGGCAGGCCTGCTTCTGGTAGTGGACTTGGTGGGTGTAAAAATGACCAAGCATTATGTTAAGGACTGTAGGTATATGATGTGCCTGAGTTGTCAACAAAAATAAGGTTGCATCAGGTTACTGCAAGGTAAAGCCTGATGTAAGGAGACCACAGGGGCGCGGCCAGCTCAAGAAGAAAAGCACCGAGGCTGTATCCAGAGCCTTAAATACAATCACACTTGGAAGCATGGTTTTACTTTTGGTAATCTACTCTCAGCTAAAAATGTAGCTGCATATAATTTTATGGATAGATATTTTACATGTGTATATGCACACACATGTATTTTGTGTATATCTATGTGCATACGCACACATAATTATATACATGTATGTGTACATATAATTTTATATGTATAGTTTGTAATTATTTTAAAATTATGTGCCTTAAAGAATAATATATACTTGTTATGAGAACGTTCACCGAAAAAACCCCCACCCACATAGGATATTACATTTTAAATGCAGGACTTCAACGAGGTTTTTAAAAAGGCATTAACTATATGCCAGAGCATAAATAAACATAAATAATGTCTTATTGAAAAAAAATAAAGGCTTACAACCTGCTGTAATTTGGAATCATATTATCATCCATAAATAAGGTAGGTCTCAAACACTTTTTATTGGGTGACCTTCTTTGAAAATATGCTGTAAGTCAAAAGTCTAATCTGATTTTTCTCAGAGAAATGCTGTCTAAGGGACCTGTGCCCCATCCTTATATCAGCATGAACATCCCATTTCACCAATTAGCACCTTTTCACTCTACATACAAAGCCAAATAAATAAAACAGGATAATTCTATGAAATTTTTAATATATTGCAACGGTCAGAATCTACTACAGAGTTTCTATTCAGAATCCTCTCATTGAACTTACAACTGCAAATCAGAAGTGCTCAGCAGGACACTGGGTTCACAGAGTATCACCTGTTTGCTTGTCCAGTTAACCATTCTGATGAGACACTTGAGAAGTTAGATCATCTATCACTTGACTTTTCAGAAATAGCAACTCAGGACATCTAGATGCTTCACTTTTTCTCACTTAACATTTCCTAACAGCGGAAAGCTCTCTAACTGTCCATCTGTCTAAAGTGACAGCTGAAGGCCTGCTGGGTCCTTGGTCAGCTACTCTGCCAACTTTCGTCACCTCAACCTGTAGATCTGGACGCCACTCAGAGGACGCCCTCCTTCCCAAAGGTGAGGACCCACCTTGCCTTCCACGGCCTGTCCGGTCCTCTGATCTTACCCTGGGCCTCTACTTCATAAAGGTAAAAAGATGCTTCCAAGATTTTGGCTGAATTGTGACCCAACCCGAAAGCATCAAGCTTTTGCAGGCAAACAAAATCAAATGCTTCTACACGTGAGCGGTAAACCCCAAGCGTCCCTTTGTTAAAGGGGTGGGTGGGTCACAGCAGGCTGTGGAGCATTGCTTTTTCCTGTAATGGCCCTTTTAGTAAATTCTTCAGGAACACCCATGAGGTGTGATTCTAAAGGAATGAGGCAGACCCCCCTCGCCCCCATGAATATACAAGCACACACAGGGCGGGCAAAAGTAGGTTTACAGTTGTGAGCACACGAAACAATTTATTCTCGTATGACTATTTATTGTATTGTTTTCCGTACAAACAGCTGTAGACCTACTTTTGCCCACCCCTGTAGATGCCCCAATAACTGTCATCTTCCAGTGCAATCCATTTTTGATGAAAACATGTATGGAGTTGTTGTGGTGAAGACAGTTTATACGACAGTAAGAAAATGAGTTCTGTTATTTCCAGCTGGGACTCCTTCCCCCCTCGGGAGAGGCCATTCATGTAAATGACACCACCTTTACTGGGAAGGCCTTGCAGCCTGGAGAGGCAGAGACCCTCTGTTTCTGGGCCAGGCTAATGCTGGAAGCCTTGGGGAGGCCTCTTGCCCCTCGGAAAGCAAACAAACCAAGTTTATTTGTGGCCTGCCCACCTGCTGAATGTGGGTATAATTGGCTGAGCAACATAAATAAATGTCAAGTCACCAGGGGTCAAAGAAGTCTATTCCAGTAAACACCTGAAAGTATCATTATTTATAACGAGGGCAAAATAAAGTGCTAGAATCCAGGTCTCCCTGAGCAGATTCTCTCTGGACTAAATGCAGCTACTGAGCATATAGTCAACATTTCCCAAAGTGTCATCCGTGGAACATAAGCTTAATGAATTGCTAACAGTGTTCCTTGAAAGGGTATGTGTGTGGGGGGTGTGGGGTGGGGGTTCCATTGGTCAAATGAGTTTGGGAAACACTGGATTAAATATGGTTCAACAGCTTACTTTACATTCAGAGCCTCTAACTGCACTGGGAATTCTCCAAGATGCTACAGGAAAGGTGTATCCACTTGGTCACATTACTGTTTCATGGTCATTTCTCTATAATCTAATTAGGGTGCTAAGTGCAAAATGCCTGGGCCTGAGCTCCAAAGTCACAGCCCCTCTACCGCATTTAAAGAAATATGGACTGTCTGGTGCCAACACTGCTCAAAATAAATTTTATCTAAAAGAGCTTCTTGGCTGGTCCTGAAGGGACAGTCAATACTAACAACATAATCACAACGTCAAGGGCTGTTAATAGCTATGGAGAAAATTTAGATTTCCTGGGATGGAGTATGTGGGGCTGAGTAGCTACACACACACACACACACACACAAGCACGCACGCACACAGGCATGCATGTGCCACATTTTCATTTTACCTGCATTTCTGTAAATGAAACCACATTCACTTACCACTCAGGACAGAGATCCAAGTTATCTTCCTCCTCTCACATCTAGTCTGCCCCTAAATCCTGTCAATCACACCTCTAAGGATTTATTCTCGTCAACTTACCTACTATCACGTCCCATGCCATGTCCCTCTTCCCTTGTGCCTGATGGCCCCGTCCTACTGAGGTCTGAGCGGCCCTAAAAGGGTCCTGGCTTTTCCATCTTCCACAGCTGCCTGCACATATGGGCCTGAGTACCTTTGCCTCCTCCTCCCTGCCACGGTCTCCTGGGGGAATTCTCACTCAAAGCTTCCCCTATCCCTGCCCCATTCCTCCCCTCCCACCATATACATATACATATACATATACATATACATATACATATACATATACTACTCATAATCTGCATCCATTATTACTTTATAGAGCTCTTTCATTTCTCTCCCATCCTTAATACTTGCACAGGGATTGAGACAGAAAATGCTCAGTACCTTTGAACACACGAAGAAAGGAATTAAAAAATAATTTTTAAAATGTGTTCATCAGAATACAACCTCCGAATTTGTAAACTCAGGCTAATGGGGAAAGGAAACATATGTGAGAATCAAGGACAAAAGAGACCCAGAGCCCTGAGGAAGCAAACACCAGCCCCTTGCTATGGCTCTGGAAAGTACAGCTTCCACACGTCTCCCATAAAGATGCATTTATCTACGTCCCAACTACCTGCAGTCACGGCATCTCCTCAGAAAGCCCAGGCATGACACTGGAGGCTTGCAATACCCTTTAAAGTGGTTATTAAATCCACTTCCCATGGTCACATGCCCAAGCTGATGGAAGAGGGAAAAAGAGCTGTCTGTCCTTGTTCCCTGGGCTGGGTGTTTAGTACCGTTCAGACCTGAAAGCCTCCTTTCTCTTTTGTAGGGTAGAGGTGTTTACCCATGTTGGTTCATTATTTAAACTGCCCATATAATAAAGTCAAGTATTTATTGTTTCAATCCCAAAATTCAAATCCAAACCGAGTTCTCTGTTATAGAGGCAAAAACAGAGCACAATTCTTGACGTCTCTCAGTACACACTATGGATGGTGTGTCTGGCTTCCAGGATTGGTAAATATTTACTGAACACCAACAGGGAGAAAAAAAAAGGGCAATCTTGCCCAATAGTTTCACCTCCACACAGGTTGTGGGTAGGTACAAGTCACCCCCATGTTTAACCTCCTTCTGTACAGGACAAAGCCACAGCTGGTGATCGGTATTCATCCTGAAACACAGCTTGTTTCCGTTCTTTTTCCTCCTTGCCCTAAATGGGATCCTAACCTAGTTGGGGAGGGGGATGCCATAAAGCACATTAGACAAATGTGGAATAGAGAGGTTAAGTATCATATAGATATTTTTTTAAAGGTACAGGCTGACAGCAAGGGGAAAAGAAATGTTACCTTCAATATCTTCGTAACAACTCCCAACCCTGGTAAATCAAGCAAACCCTCTCCCCCTCTCAGCTGGCACCATGACGTTCTCACAAGATCTCTAGGAGAAAAGCATTTCTGCTTTCCATCCGACAGAAGCAAAGGCACACACAGGTTACAGGCTGGCTCAGGACACTCAGGACCACAGGCGACAGGTAAGTCAGAAGTCACACCCTGAACCCGACCCAGCAGGATTTCACTCCAGAATGCCAGACACAGCGCACCCACCACAGGAGATCCAAGCGCCACGCTGCTCTCCACCGAGCTTCTAAAGCAGCACAGCACAGAGCAGAGGCCCGCAGGGTGAGACAGAAGCTGCGCGCAGAGGGAGGGGGAAGCAACAGAAACCATGGCTGAGGTGCTGGGGGCGCCTTGGTCAGAAGTGCATTCAGAGAATGGACACCCCAAATGGAAACACTGCACACAGCCCCCCGAAGCCACAGCGGGGGTTCGGGGTATCTGCCGCCGCCACCCCGCACTCCGAGGAGGGACCATCGGGAGGCGCTGGAGAGGCTCGTTTCCGACGCCTTAGGAATCGGTGGGTTTGGCGTAGCAAGGGATACCTGTATTTAGAGACACGGGAATACAAGACAGATCCTGACCTGTTTCCTTCTATTTCCAACTGAGAATTACTGGGCACCTTCTCCACGTTACACCTGCGGTAGAGTAGAAAGAACACTCGCGTCAGAAGACCTGGGTCCCCGTCCGGCCTGGCTCCTGCCTCCTAGGTTGGGTCATTCATTTCACTCTCCACGGCTCAGTTGCCTCACCTACCTGCCTTGCCCACCTCACGGGAAGGTTGGGAAGACCACACGGGGTTACGTTTGGAACATCATTCTGAAAAAATATATACTTCTTCAGAAATGGGGGGAAAGAGGATTTTCTAACTTCTTTGGGACTTTTCCAGCTTCCAGCTTCTCTCAAACACGGAAATGCCTACTACTTGGTCCCATTTCTCTCCACACATGTTCTGTGTGGCCTTTAGGACGCACACTCCATCCACTGTTCCGGAAGCAGAGGGAGACCTGAGGAAAGCAGCTTTAGCTTAGCCCAGTCTAGCTCCTCATTGGCAAACGGGGCTAATACTTACCTCGGAAAGCTGTCCCGAACACTGAACAGAGGCCGAAGTTGGTTACGGCACCAGCACAGAGAGGGAGCCTCAAACAACTGCCAACCCCGGATTCTGAACCTCATCTAGGGAGTGGGTTCTACTTCTCAGAACTCCATTCCATTCCAACAGCTCACGGAGCCAATGACCCTCAACTGGGAAGGACCAGAAAGAAGCACCTGGGGTCTTTAGTCCTTTCTGGGGGTTCCAGGGAGCCTCTTCCGTTGAGGATTGGGAAACTGCTGTGCTTGTGTCCCTTTGTGTGGGGGCAGAGAAGTAGCTGACAGGTGTGACAAGTCTTGAGAAAACCCCCCGCCCCAGCAAGATCTTACCCTGGGCGCCCTTTGGCCCACACGGCCCAAGCATGGCCACTTAGACATCCCTCCTTAGAGCCGCTGCCAGTGCGGCCCTAGGGGAGGAGGCCTTGCCGAGCGGCAAAGCCCAGACAGAGAAACGCAGGAGCAGTGCAGGCTATGGAGAAGTAGCTGGAATGTCTGAAACAGAAGGGGTGGCAGACCGTCTTTCCCAGGGTAGAGGTTTGACCATCAGGCAGGCTACTGAAATGTTCAATGGGAAGCTGTTGAAAGTTCTTAAGTGACAGTGTGATGTGCTCAGATAAGTATCCAGGAGGAAGGCAGAATGACGGGCAGACTGGAGACGGGGAACACAGGCAGGACACGCTGTCCCAGACCAGGCCAGGCCAGTGATGGGAGGGGTCCGAGGAAGACAGTGCACCAGGAGGCAGAGGAGGGGTGCGCTGGGGAGATGCGTGTGTGTGCGCGCGTGTGCGTGGAGGAAACTTGGTATCTGAGTGCATGTTAGGAGTAAGTTACGGAATGGGAAATGCTTTCAACATTGCACTTTGGGGATATTGAATTGATGACGGTGTTAGCCAAGGGGATACAGAAGCCATAATAGACTGTGCCGCCTCCGAAAGTGTAAGAGTGAAGGCAGAGAAACCTGCAAATGACAAATACTGTCTGAGACATTCTACAGACCACAATGCGGATCGTTTGAGGAGAGATGGGCATGGTTCTGCGGTTTGAGAGTATCAGAAGTGACAGCTCACTGGGTATGTGAGGCTCTGAACAAAGGAAATCCCGGCAGAGTAATTTTAAATGGGGCTGGTAAGGAGCACCTGGGGACAGACCTACCCAGCAGGTCAGCAGTCTGACTGGCTTGGGGCAAAAAAAGTACAAACAAACAAAAACCCCAAAGCGACAAAAAAGAGTATTACCTAATGGTATGGATTTGGCTTTAAGAATGTATTTACTTCAAGTGTATTTTAAAAAGACAACATGAACTGGTATGAACAGTCTATCTCATGAAGCCTCGGGATGAAGGTCAACTCGGGAAAGCCTTTCACACAGCAAGCGCCTAAATGCACTCCAGGTAAAGCACTTTGGAGAAAAATCTTGGAACAATGCAATGCTTTTTAATAAGAGTCCATCCCTTCTGAAGAATGAGTGGACTACCTGTGAGCCTTCAAAACAGCAGTCAGCTTTACTCAAAATGAGATGCTAACTAATGCCTTTTCAGCATATATAGGAATTACATGAGTACATATATATCACTTTCCACCTAAACGTGACCATAAACATGAGATGTCATTGTAGCCTCATATAATGAACTGACATGACCCCCCACCCCCCTTTCCCTGAATTCCCCAGTCCACTGCCTGTTCAGTAACATGGGCTACGAGGGCCATCCCACCACATGGTGAGCCCATGGAGGACAGCAGGCACCTCTGGCCCTGTTGAGCAGTGCAGGGCTGGAAATGAGGGGGGGGAGGGGGAATGCAATAAATGAATGGATGATTTTCTACAACGTGAAAAGAGCTAGGTAGGACTCACAACAAGCTAAGGCTTGCCACCTTCTTAGATAGAATCAGGGCTTACTAAAACAAGGGGCAAGAAGACAGTCCATGTTCAGGAAAGAGAGCAGAGCCTGAGGAGCCCTAAGGAGAGAGAAGCCCTGCGGTTGTCACCCCTGCCACTCTACCATGTACCAGGGCTGAGTCCAATCAGATAGGCCGGGCAGATACTGCCCGCCTTTCCCACTGCTTCCCTGTGCGCTTTCTCAAAGCTGGTGGACCTCAAGTCCAAACCCTTCGCAACCACAGGCCCAGGCCTCACCAAATACTCCTGCTACAAGTCTTCAAACAATTGATGGAGGGAGGAGGTGACAATGACCTCATCTGCGGATTCCAGGTTCTTTGGGAAGGAGAACAATGCTCGGATTTGAAAGCAAGGCATAATAAAGGCTGAACAAAAGCCACTGATAAGGAGAGTGGATAGAAAGCGTACAGAGACGCTTCAGATGTGTTCAAGTGTCCAGTTGCAAACTAATTACATCCTGAGACAGCGTGTGTAGGTTGCTTCTGCTAATAATGGTTAAGAGACCAGAGAACAGAAATGGAATCAGAAGAATCGAGATAAGCAAATGTCCCCATTTCAAAAGGAGAAAAGGAACTGGAGACTGCTCTGCTTGAAGTGTACCCTTGCTAAAAACTTAGTAGAAATTATTCAGATGCCACCGGGCTATTTAGAGAAGATAAATAATACCATTAAGGAGCAGTAGGGGGTCTCTTAGAAAAAGCCATGGCAAGCGAACCTCATTTCCTTCTTTCAGCGGGGATTCTTAGTGGATAGATTGGAGAGGCCATACGTGTGTATGTCTTGGTTTTAGCCCTTCTAGATAACCTTGAGAAAGGAGAGATAAGTGTGGGTGACATAATAGCATGGTCATGTGAGTTCACAGGTGGCTAATCAACTCTAAGGATTGCTGGTTAATAAATTCATGTCAACCTGAGTGATTTTCAGGGGCATGATATAGAGACCTGTCCTTTGCCTGTTAGCAATTTTTCAGCAATAGTCTACAGCAGTGATCGGCAAACTGCGGCTCGTGAGCCACATGCGGCTCTTTGGCCCCTTGAGTGTGGCCACGAAGTTTCAATCGCACTGTATGTGCGCGCCCGCACGTGGTATTTTGTGGAAGAGCCACATTCAAGGGGACGCAGTTTGCCGACCACTGGTCTATAGCAAATCTTCAGATGACCAATAAAACTTAGGAAGACAAGGAAGTAAACTTGATTTTTTTTAAAGGCACAAAAATTCAGAGTTCTATCAGTAGACTAGAATGAGTAAACGAAAAAATCAATTAATTGGAACTGCACGGGGATAAGAATAATATCAGTAGATGCAGGTTCAAAAAAAAAAAAAAGAAAGAAAAAGAAAAGAAAAAAGAAATACAGCATTCCAGTGAGAGAAGAGCTATCTGCATGTTTGGGGGAGGAGGAGTTTTTCCAACAAGTCACATGTTCACCGTGAGTTAACTCTGTGTCAAAGTTGCTGGAAGAAGTTAACACACTCTTGAGTTATGTTAACAGAATCCTGGTGTTCAGAATAAGAAAGCTAACCAGCCTGCAATGAGCACGCAGAATACATGTGAAGTTCCGGGTGCCGCGTTTCAAATGCGACACTAAGAAAGCGGATGTGCTGAAAGCCGGGACCAGGGTGGTGCAAGTCTAGGTCCCTCCGGAGAGCAGGGTGAGGTGTGTCAGCCTGAAGAAGGATGTCCTGGGGTGAATGTGTTTACAGATGTTGTAAAGGACATTTCTTAGACTCTCTGAAGGTCTAAGTAGAACAAACAGCTAGAAGTCAGGGGACTGAATCCATCTTACTGAAGGAAATGGGTGTTGTGTTCAGAGGTGGCCTGTCTCCTAACACTGGAGCTAACGCTGGGCATGTCCACGCTGAGGCTGGACGACAGTCAGCCAGAGGTTCGGGGACACAGATGGGTTGTGGGAAGTTGGACCAGGTAGAGAGAAAACCTCTTCCAACATTAAGAATCGCTCTAGGAATCTCTCTTTATTCAGGTTAACACTATAAGTCACATCTCTAGACTTGGAATAGCTCTACCTGCCCCTACTCTTCAGCATTGTATTCGACATCTCATCCCGGGGACAATGTTTATAGGGTACAGATGCAAATCAGGTTGAATTCATTTTCAAAGAAATAGTCTTAGGATAAATATCACATAAACTGAGAATATGGTTTTAGAAGTCTCCTACATAAACAGAAAACAAAGCACGCTTAACAAGTCAGAGCAAAGCCTTCTGATACTACTCGACAGAGTTTTCTGTTTGGGGAAATAGAACGGTGGGGCGGTGGGAACGGGGAGCAGCAGGCCAGCGCTGCCTCTGACAGCAATCACTGCAGGAAGCCTTTACAATGACGAACCACACAACATTGGCTCTTTGGGGTGACATTTTAAAATGAGACCTGGTGCTCAAAACAAAGGCAGTCAATAGATGCGTACATCATCCTAGTCCTTTATTTAAAAGAAGATACATCTGTCCCAGAATCATGGAAGAAGGTTGGGGGTGGGGTGGGGAGAACTGTCTCACGAGAGAGAATTAGTTCTTATATATCAATTAAATATAGATGGCAGGTCTGACTTACTACCCTGCTATTCTGCACCTGATAGAGCTCTAACGTGGACTGGGGTGACGGGAGGCAGGTTAGCACAGGTGGCACTTCCTTCCCAGGCAGGTTCAGTTACTATATTAGTAGCTGACTTTAAGGGTGCAAAAATCTGAGCACATGGAGAGGTACGTTTCCCAGCAGCGTTTTCTAAATCCAACCAAAAATATGACAACATATCTAATTACAGCCCTCCTAATTTGAGTGCCTCCTACTTGAGCACCAAGTTTGGTAAGAGAAATAAAAAATATAAATAGACTAAGTGCTTTTTCTAGAGGGTTACTAACATGAAATATACATGAGACATGCAGTGGTGGGAAATTTCGTGCATATTCCCCAGAATCTACCTAAAACGTGGGAGCTAACAGAATGGATCTTAGAGGAGTTCCTTTTCAAAGGAAGGTAAAATAAATAAATAAAACCAGAGGATGTGTGTGGGGGGGAAATACTCAATGCCTGCATGCTGAAGACTTAAATATCCTTCCTTCCACTACCATACAACTAAAGACTTGCTCAATAACCAGTCCCGCAGAAAGTGTGTTTTCGGGAAATAAAAAGATGGGAAGTCTGTCAGCAAGGACACTGACTTTATCGTGCGCCGAGCTTCATTCACCCACCCCTGTGATTCCTTATACATAGTCTGAAGGGCTAATTATTACTTATTAAACTGTCCAAAAACCTTGGGTTGTATTCACTCATCAAATCCTCGTAATGCCTCTAGAGGCAGGTGAGTAATTATTCCATTTTGTGGATAAGAAAAGTGAGGCTCAGGGAGGTTAAGTAAATTGCTCACCCCCCCACCGTGCACCCCGAAATGCTAGAGTTAGAATTCAAACACAGGTAGTTAAATTAGAATGTTTTTATCTTTCTTATTGAGCCACAAAGTGTTCTTAATTTGTTGTAAATGTTATCCTTTTGTATATGGTGAAAATATCATATAGCATATCTTGTAGACTGTTTTTTAAAAATCTCTAGAAGTTCTAAATTTTGATGTAGTCAGATTTGAAAACTATTTTCTTAATTTATCTTTTTTACCTTTTACATTTAGGTTTTAAATCCAACGGGCCCTCACTTTATCTGTTTAGATATGAAACAAGACAGGAGCTTGTGGTCTAAACTACTGCACTATGCCTAGCTGACTTTTAAGTGACCTAACCTTATACACCTCTGTATTCTGGGCAGTTTCTAGGAAAGTGGTCAGTCCACAGCCATGGATATCCTTAAATCACAAACTCCAAAGGCTATGGAGCCAGCAGGTGACATAAAGGAGTGGAGGGGCCAGGTGTGAAAAGCATGATGCTACATGGTAATGGACACTCCTACTGGAGGAGTGAAAGTCCCTGATGCGACGGGGACTGCGACAAACCAGAGCATGACAGCCCGCAGAGGTGGCAGCCACTTCTTCACCCCGAGCAGCTGTTGCCAAAGGGAAAATTGGGTAGATTGCTGCTAGATATTTAGGTTTTCCAAAAAGGGGGGGGGGTGAAACAACAACAACGACCTCTCAAGTTTTATTTTAAAAAAGCTCGCTAATTTAATGTTTGCTTTTTAATTTTTTAAAAAACTACATGAAATATGAAAGAAAACCATCTGTGGTCCACCGGCTGGTGACCTCTTTCATGCCATGAAGCAGGAGACAGACATCCCTGGAATACCAGGCCTGGCACCGAGCCTCCCAGGACTTTCTTGGCTGTTCTAAGCGCTACAGCAGCCCTAACCTCACGCACAGCAGGTAATGACCCAGATGCCTGTCAGAGACCCAGGCACACCTGGTCAGAGACACAGGCATTTTGCTCTCCTGTGACAAAGGGCAAGAAGAGTTAGAAGTATATGCAGAGGGATACTCCCCCCCCTTTTTTTTTCTTTAAGCCAGGGGCTGATAAAATGAGCCGCCATAGTCCAAGCTGGCTTCCTGGATGGAAACTGTTCCTGCCTCCGGCAAACCTACCCATCGGGCTGAGGATAGATAGAAACTTGACAGAGTTACTGACTCTTGGTTTACAAGGAAGTTTGCTGTTCACTGTAGTAAAAGAACAGACTTCTGGCCAAATTTTCCTCCCTGAATTGCTGTCACTCCCCTGTGTCAAGGAGTAGCTCACCCAGACCCAATATAATGGGCTGTCCCCCTTGAAGCTACTTCAGAATTCTGTGAAAAAAGGGGAGGGTAGTAAAAATAGGAAGCGGGGGACCAACAAGACCTGGTTGGTAAAGGGGGGCAAGTTATTCTCACCCTTCACACACACCTCCTCCCACTCACTCACTCGTCACCATTTCTGAAAACTCCTAATAAATAATATAATAAAAACTTAACAATAAAACCCCATGGTTGAAAGTTTCTTGCTTTTGTGACTATTTAATCTTTATAATGACATTCTCTCCCTGGTATAACACATTCACTAAAATCACAATGAAAAACTAAAATCACAACTTAGTTATTCGTTTTAAAACTTTCAGGAATACAGAGCAACACTAGTTAATGTAAAAAATATATATAATATATATATGTAACTAAAAATGATTAATACCATATGCAATTTAGAGAAATGTTTGTTTTGTTTCCTATCAATTTTTTCCATCAAAATGACATGTAATCGTCCCATTCACATGCTTAGCAACTGGAAACCAAATCATCTAACCAGAATGTAGTCTAACTAGATTACCTACTGTAGCGAGCTGACACCCTAAAACACCTTTGCTTTGGTTTTCAAATAATTGTTCATTGTTTAAAATGGTCTGGGGATAGTGTCCAGGACAGATTTCTCAAAATTCACATTCAAAAGTTCCATGAAAAAGAGGCAAAGTTTTTTCCACGCTGTCTATATAGTATTAGGGGGGAGAAGAAGATGGCTCAAGCAAGTGCTCAGACAAGACGGTCAAGGGTGTTTGGAGGAAAGAAGGACCCGTAACTTCGATGAAGCACATGTTTGGTTGTAAACAGTCTTAACATGAAATATTTACCTTAAATATGCTAGGACTGTTCTTTCTCTAACAACTCAAACCAGAAGTATAATTTCACTCTATTGTTTCAATCCTTCCACATCCCTGATGGTATTTCAGAGAGCCCTAAGAATCCTTCTCCAGTTCAGATTTCCTTCGTTTTGTAATCTAAACTCCTGCTTCCCAAACAGCCATCAAACATCATACGGGACAGCAGTAGTGGCCATTTTGAACACACCTTTAAGTGAAAGCCACAAAACACTAAGTAGAAAGCATGCACCAGGCCCAGTGCACACCTGGGTAACGCCTGCTCTGACGTGGCCTCGCGGGGGTGGGGTCGCGGTGAAGATGACCAAGGGGAAGGGGAGAGGCACTCACCTGTCTTTGTAGTTGATCACAGTATCGATGATGGCATTCATCTGCTTTGTCAGTTTGGGGGGGTTTGGTGACAATTTCTCTGCGGGAGGGCGACCTCGTCTCTTCTTAGCTTTTTCCACATCTTCTTTTGCGGGATCTTTATCCACATTTCTTCGTCTTTTTCGTTTCTTAAGCCGTACTTCCTCTTCCATTTCTTCCAAATTGCCGTCTTCAATGGCCTGTTACAAGGGAATGAAGGAGAAAAATTCAAGACAAGAGGATAACCAATATATATACACACACACAGAATTTGAATTAATTAGACTAAAATGAAACAAACTAACCAAAAAATAAAAGTTAACAGCAATCAGTGGAGTAGGAAGAAAAAGGGAAGACCACCATATCGAATAAAACGCATCTTTAACCCAAGTCTGTTTCATGAGCAAAATATGTTGAAGGCCTGAAACACTAATAGTAAAGAAGACTATGACAAATACGAGAAGATCTGTACATTTAGGTGTTTAAGATAACTGAATCCAACTGAAATTGTGTCTCAATAAAAGAAAAAGACCTTAACTGTCTCATTACTGTAAGGGAGGAAAAGATATAATTAAAAAAAAGGGGATGAGTGAAGAAAAAAATATTCCTTAAGAATACATCCTTACCATCATATAAGCATTGACCATTTCTTTTTTAAAATTTTTACATCAATGTATGCATGATTCACAACATAAATCAAAATTGCATCCAGATTTTTGTTCTCACGTAGCCATTTGTAAACAAGGAAACAGAGAAGTACAAAGCCACATTCCTTTGTAAAGGCACTTAAATCATCCGATGAAGAACACACACACTCACAAACAACAAACACTTTTTTCCAATTACCTGCCAACGCTTGCTTTAAACCAGAGCCAGCAGCACTAATGCAGAGAGATAATAAAATAGCTATAAAAACAACCAGGCATAAAAGAAACCTGTTCATAAATGGCTAAAAGATCCATGTGACAGACCCAGAAGTTTAAACTTTTTTCCCCCTGGTAAATCTCAAAACTTAAGAAAAACAGAGGTGGGAGGGGTGGGGGGAGAGAAGGGGGGATGCAAAAGAAAAAACAAAAGCCCAAACCACAACAGATAAGAGTATTTAACCACAGAAAGAAAAATATTTTTTAAAACCTTTAAATTATATTTTAAGATTGCCTTCTCACACAAAATAACTGATGTTGTTATTTGTTCCTCCTGCCTCTCAATATTGCCTCCAGTATGCAAATGCTAATCAATCCTTTCGAGAAGCTGAAAGAGCTCTAATCATAAGGCAATTACCTTCATTTCTCCACAGCACCAAACATGGCTAATATTTATGATCATGTGAGTATAACAATCAATATAAAGAGTGATTACAGCTCAGACATAATTTCTTTCACTTGTGTACAATGCCTCCTGAAGAAGAAAGGTTTTTGTGAAGAAAACCTGGTGCAGAACACACAACAACCTGGCATGTTAAAAAATGCCTGTGGCATTTACAATATGTTTTCTATGCATCTCCCAATGTGCAAACCCATAGAAGCAACATGCACACAGACAGTCCGAGCCCAGGCCTTAATAATCAAAAGACAATTTCTATCACGATCCTACAATGTTCAGATAACCACGATGAAGAAGGCGAGATCTGATGAATTATGAGGAAAAAGAAAAAAAGCTCCACATCATTTCATTAATATTCATTTGCCTAAAAGCAGGACACCCACTATACAGCTAAACACACTGCAGCTAAGCAAAGATTAAGAAAAGGAAATTGTCCCGCAAATCTTGGTGGCTGAACATGCTAATAATAAATACAGCATGCAAGGCTGTCAACAGTTAATGGTATTGCTCTCAAGCACCCAGTTGCACACAGAAATACAGAGAACACCGGCTTTTGATGTGTTACACACCTACACATGCCTGGGATGTAGTTCTACTGAATCTTCAAGACGGCAACGAAAAAGGATATTTACCTTACCACTATCAGCAGGCCGGCTATCGGAAATCACAGTTAGTGGGGATAAAATTAACAAGCCAGCAAAGCAGCGAGCTGCTAGTCTCTTCATCAGCTGATCAGGAAAAAAAAGAGAGCTGGGAAAGGCTATGTTTTCATATACAAGTAATTTTATTTTACTGAAAATTTAATACTGAAAGGATTGTGGATACTCAAATCTGCTGTTTCATTCTCCCTACTACAAGGCCCGAAGCCTTCCTCCTTCAGCCTGTTTTAATATTGACAACTACTTATCATATTTTTTTCTCCTCTTATTATTTCAGGCAGCAGAATTAAAGATTTTTTAGCTTGGGCGGTTTCTGATTCTTACTTGCATTTTAACAATTAAGCTGATAAGGAAACAAATTAATATTCAAATCTACTTTCAAAAATTAAAACAAGGTATGCTTCTTTTTGGTATTTGAAACCTCATTTTAGTGTTTTTCATAAAACAAGCTGCATGGTTTTGGAGCAGTCTAAGATGATTTTTTTTAATAAAGGAATTTCTTTTTCATTAAATGCATGTCAGTAAAAGCAATGTGCATGTTCTCAAGTATAAATATTTTAATAAAATATGTTATTCTGTTCTTTAAAGAAAACCCTGAACAACTGTGACACTTCACTTTCAGTTTCATGCTGTAAAATTTTTCATTGTTTTTCTTTTCAGTGGGATAAATGAAGAGGGGGAAGTTGTGAAAGAGTATTTCTACTCTCACCCCCCCCCCCTTAACTTTGCAAAAAAAAAAGGGGGGGGGACAAAGCATAAGCTAGTGATAGTTGGACTGTTAAATCTCTAAATCTAAGTAGCTAAAAAGCAAAAACAATTTAAACTACAAAAAGAACTAGTAAAATAATTTTTATTACAATTGCTAATACATGCAGATTCTTATTAAATTTAGGTTTTGGAATCACATGGAAACACACAAAGTACTGACCATTATTCCCCTTAAAGTAAGGCTTTTATGCAGGAATGCAGACAGCTACAAACATCCTTCCCTCCTCCCCCAAGACCCCAAACACATCCATATGCAGTGCTTGTTGTAGAGGGATTTCCAAGGGTCTTGTTCTAATGGAAATCAATTCTCTAAATTATTTCCCGGTGCTTTTAGCACTTAAAGGAGTGGAGTAAGATTACTCCTACATGTAAGTAAAATTATCCTTGGACATTTAAAACTGTTCTTTAATTTTAAAAAATTACTTATTCCACTGGCTACACTGACTCAACTCAGTGCTAAGGGGGGGAGGGGGGGCCACAAAAAGAAAACTTGCTACACAATGCTAAAGCACTACCCCCGAAAGATTTCCCTCCCAAACCTTTTACCAGCACAATAATGAAATAAATCACAGAAGCAAACCCCCAGTTTCCGACTGGTGACGTGTTGCGCAAGAGTGCGAGCCCTAATTCAACATACAGACGGCTCCCATGCCGAACTGCCTCTAGATTTAATGAAGTGAATAGGAAGGAAGTCGGGGGAAAAAAAGTGTACAAATAAGAAATTAACACTTTCCTGCCCTACGCAAACGGCGAGCTACAACTACAGCGAAGTTTGGTGAGGCGCTTCTTTCCTTAAAGGCGCACTGCACCCTCCTGGCTCCGGATGTCACTAAAAAAACCCTTCTGGTGATTAAAAAAAAAAAAAAAAAGCCCAGCCAACTTAAAACAGTGAAGCATATTTCAGCCTGCGTTTTTCCTGAATGGAGCTGGGAATTACTCCTTCCTCCACTGGATGGCAACCTTTTTTCCCCCTCCCTTCTTTCTTTCTTTCTTTAAGAAAAAAAAATAATTTTTTTTTTTTAAGAATACATTTTCCTGACAGGCCAGGCAAGACCACGATGCGGACGGGCTCCTTCTTCAGCTAGCTCGTAAGGAAGCGGCGTGCAGGCTGACAACGCAGGAGAGGAGGTGCCGGAGCAGCTGCGCTAGAGGAGCCGCTCTGCAGCCCGAGAGCACATGGCAGAGCGGGGTCGGCCGCACGTGGGTCGGGCCGGGTCCCCGGACACACAGCATGTCTTTCAGGGAGAGGCGGAGGGTGCGGAGGGCCGGCATGATCCCCGCTCCTCTCGGCCCGCGCGCGGGGTACCGAGGCGCTAGGACACCCGACTTCGCCGCAGCCCGATGCCGGACCGCGAGTAGGTACCGGGGACGAGCAAACAAAAGCCAGGAGCCGGCGCGGCGCATTGTTTCCCCGCGGCTGCCTCCCCCTCGGCGGCTCCCCAGCCCACGCAGCGTGGCACGGCCCTCTCGGCGGAACAGACCATCTCGGGGAAAACGGGAAGGGGCTACCCGCAGGCGGCTAGACAATGACTGCCTGGGAAACGTCTCGGCTAGGAAAAGGGGAAGGGAGCGTTGTAATGCTTCAGTCTGAGGGTGAACATCACGTTTCTGCCCACCGACACGTTCTCTTTCTCTGTCCACGAGGATTGGGGGGGGGGGTCCTCTCCACTGAGAAACTCTAGGATTGCAGAAGAGCTGGATGCTACTGGGGTGGAGGTGGGGCTAGCGTGCAGGGCTAAGCATGAGAGAATTGGGTCATGTCAGTACCAGCACTTCCTGGGGACCACTCACGTCACTAAACTTGATTCCATTATTTGGGGAGCTTAGACTTCCCTCAAGTCCCCATGAGACCCCAGATGCCAGTAAGTACAGGTAATGATCCTCCAAACCACCACAACTGCAGCAACAACAACAGAAAGTGGGATTTTGCCCTGGTCGGTGTGCTCAGTGGTTAGAGCGTCAGCCCACACACCGAAGGGACTCGGGTTCGATTCCAGTCAAGGGCACATACCTGGGTTGCAGGTTCTATCCCCCAGCCAGCTCGGAGTGCGTGTGGAGGCAACCAATTGATGTCTCTCACGTCCACGTTTCTTTCTCTTTCGCTGTCTCCTTCCCTCCCTTCCATCTTGACAAAATCAATGGGAAAAAATATCCTCAGGTGAGGATTAACAAAAACAAAGTGGAATTTTAAAGAAAATTTAACATTTCATGTATGAGAAACTTTCTTATAATAGGAATATTTAAAAACAACAAAAAAAAATTGAACATGGAATTCTTGCTCAAAATGGCATCATTTTAAGCACTTGGTTTCATAAAGACTGCAGCCCTTCGGATACAGAATTTCAAACTCACGGCTTTGGACAATTAAGTTTTGATTATTACCATCCCCCAAAGCAACCTATTTGAAAAGGATGCATGAAATCAAATTCCCTCAGGTGAAATAAACCAGA